GTATACTCTTGGAAGTCAAGCTTCCTCTGTGCAAGGTGCCGTGTGACCCGTCACAATTCCTGTAAGAGGCTGCGAGCAAGAATGCATTCTTACGTCCCGTACCTCTGTGTGACGTCATAAAAAATACGATAGTGTTGAGGGGGAAAGTAGCAAAGATCCTGAGATTGCCTTACCAAGTCTCCCATCCGCGATCGGATTTCTTCTCTGTCAATTAAGCGGGGCAAGAATTTGCGCATTTTGTCCAGAATTCCGAAGAAAATTCACAGGCAAAATGATGACAGATCTCCTTCCGAAATCGAAAAGAGTTACTTTCGGCTTCTGCACTTACTTCGCGATTTCCGCGTCCACCCAACCTTTTTTAAGGTGCAGTGAGCAGCGGGGCTGCCGTAGCTCTTTTGCTTAGAAGAAGCTAAGCTAAAGTCAACGATCTTACGTTCTATACTAAAACTATTATGTGTGTATCGGATCGCAATCCGCTTACTCCAAAAGTAATAACAACCTTAAACTCAAAGCAACTAAAATGTTCCTTTCAAAATATTAGCCGTATTTCTATTGTATTATTTGCGGTAGAGCCGCCAATATTGAAATCTCTAGGTTTTTCTAACTAGATAGTAATAACAAATTAAAATGCATAACTACTAGCAGTCCCGCCACGTATTAGCTTCTTGTTAAGGTGTAGCCATACCATAGCGTGGTCACACCATCCTGTGTGATCCACATCATCCCAGGGTACGTGTTACCCTGTTACACTCTACCTCATAAAAACTGTAAATACCCACAATTTACATCTAACTGTCGCCTCGTAGGAGGTGACGCGTGTCTAAGACACTTCTACACCCCCAAAACCTTCTTCACGCATTTGCTGCTCAATAATTCCTGCGCAGAGAGCACAAAAGACACATAACCTTGCTGGTAGCGAGGAATCCCGCGGTCAAAGCTCTTCATCTATTTCTACACAGGTTACATCTCCGGACAGTACGTTTGCGACTTCACGGGAATCACATCACATGCCCTCAGCGACCGAACGCCGCACACCGCGCCGCCACGGGCGACGGATTACCGCGTCGAGGATTCGGAGTAAATGACAACGAGTCAGATACTCCTTTCCTAGAATGGAAAGAAGAGGAGGGCAAGGTATGCCAACGGCGCGACGTGAGCAGGACACCGTGTCCGTTTCCCGACCTCTCGACTTCCAGGGGAAGTGGCTATATTTTTCAAGAGCCTTGACAAGGGGTGGAGAATGCTCAAGGTGCGACTCTCATGCGCTCGTATCCACGTTCGGTCCTTGACCCGCCTGTGGAATACGGTTTCTGCTCGGTGAATCTCGCTACTGAAACGAAAGACGCCGTTACGCGTCTAGGTAGTCGGGCCCCCGTTCACTACACAAGCCGAGCTTGACAACGAAACGCTCTCCGAGCTCGCTTCTTGGTACCTCAAGAAATCAAAATCGATAGGTACCGCGCTCGGCTTTGAGCCGAAAGTGGAGGCGCTCCTGTACGTGCAATGCGCACGACTCCTGTGTTGCTCGCCCCTGGCGAAATCACTGCAGATGATGACGGGCTCTTTGAGCGATAGATGCAGCGGCACCGGAAACTTTCCTCGCTGTCTAACTTACAGCGATTTCACAAGAAGGTGGACGTGCGCGCGGAACGCCATCTTCGGCTCGAGTTCGCCAAACTCAAGGCGCATCGCCGACTTCCGTCGTGTTTTCGCCTTGCGACGTATGGATCAATCAATCAAGTTCCCGTGAGCTCTGTGCTTTCTCACACGGGTGAGTCTGCGACCACAGCAGATCAGGGCTATAGCTCGTGCTCAGCTCATGACCCTTCGGGATCCCTGGCTATTGCCGAGAAACGCAAGGAGAACAACGACGCCGAACGTCATCATACCGCTGATTATAAGCGTCTACAACGTCTGGGCAGTCTTGCCAAAGTGGCCCTCAAACTCCCACATGATCTCAGAGTCGGGGTATCCCCGGCTCTTCACAAGATATTGGATTTCACACTGTCGACGACGCTGACCCACAAGACGTTTCACGTGATAGTGGACACCGCCGTTCTCGTCGAGAAGACTCGGCAGTTGACGATGACGACTTGGTCGATCGCCATCCAGTGCTCTTCGAGCATTTGGGGACATGGTCTGTCGCGATCGGGACTCTGCTGTTCATCATGCTGGGATCGCATACCGCTGCGCGGAAGGCCTCGGAGCACTTTATGTATCAACTGTCTCACGTTGCGGACAATCGCGCTCTGTCGAAGCGACTCCTAGACGTCGAGCAGACGAATGTGCGACGGTGGACTGCCTGGCGCCGTAAGAAACGGAAATTGTTGCACTCGTGCTCAAAGCCATTTGCTGGCTCAGCTTCAGGGTGGTCGAGCGCCTGTTGGCGCCTGCGCTACCGCGTTCACTACCGGATACGGTTTGAGCAAACCCACATTGAACACCGGGTGGGTGCGCATCCGTTTTGGAAATTTAGGTGACCCCTTTTCGCCACGACCTTAAAAGGTCCAGTAAACCGTGGACGGAGCTACGTCTTGAAAACAGCAGAAGCTAGATGTGTATTTGAATCTTTTTAGCCTTTGAAAAAAAACAGATCTCTGACCTCAAACTTTTCAACACTTCTTTTGCTTCTTCCGTCTGCATATTCTTTCTGCATGTCTTGGCTTTCAGCCATAGCATTGCGAGCGTGTCGAAAGACACTCAGTCTAGTAGACTGGGAGTCATCGACTTCTATACGAACAGCGAAGGAGCTGACATCAGCAAGCCACTCGGCTATTCCTACCCGCCAATTCCTGATCCATATAATGGCGACGTCAGCGGGATGCGAGGATGAACGAGCCCGTTCGCGTAGAACAGCGTGTAGCCGGAAAAATCATGCACTGTATCGTTCAGAGCGAACTCTACAAGTGAGCATGGCGCTCCAGTGCCTCGGCATCTCAGCGCAGACGCTGCGAAGAACGTCTTTAGCGACGCGATTCACGCGCTCAGTTTGACCATCGGTCTGCGAGTGGTCTACTATTGACATAGTCAACTTGGTGCCCAGCATCTTGAATATCGTCGCTTAGAAATTCCAGGTGAAAGGAGGGGTCTCTGTCAGAAACAATTGACTCCGAGGGTCCATGTTGTCGAAAGACACGAGCCACAAACAGTGTTGCCGTACCCAAACCGTCGATGGTGTCCGGGACCGCCGCAATGTGAACCGTCTTGCTCGAGCGGTCAAAATAAACCACTACATTCCTGTTCCCCGCCGAGTCCTTAGGCAGAACCCAGAAGGTACCGGTAATATGACCAGCGGCGCCGCCGCATTCGGAGAGGGTTGAATCCTCTGGCACGTATCACATGTGCGCACATATGTGCTCGGTCATTTATACAGCTTGGGCCACCACTGTGGCAACTCTAAGTTCTGTACGTCTTCTCACGAGCGAGATGACCACTGAGTGGAGTGTCGTGGGTCGCATAGAAGATGCATTATTTAAATCCTCATCGTGAGGAGCCACAGTTCGTGGCATATCCGCTGAATTGGTACTATAAACCCTTTATTCAACGAGTATTGGTGTAATTAAGCGTGCAATCTCGCCAACAATTTCTTGTCCGAGTTTCCAAACTTCTTGCTCCCAAAAGCCTTTAGCAGCGCTTAACACGTACAACACCCGCGTCTGCGGCGCGGATCAAATCCGTCACTGACGACGTCACCGTCGTGCCATGAGCATGCTCGTAATCTGTTCTGTGTGACAATGCATCAGCCAAAGCATTCTGCTTTCCTGACTTATACTTCAACTCAGGGTTATATTTGGCAAAGAAGTTGAGCTATTTGGCCATCCTTTGCGAGAAGTGAGGCGACTGAGTCGCAGTGCGTAGTGACACATGATCTGTGAAGATCACAAACGGCTTTGAGCCAAGCAGGTGCACCCTTAACTTGACAAGTGCATACTTCATCGCAAGTTATTCCTTGTCGCGGACTGGATAGTTCTTCTCCGCAGCCTTTTTGGCGAGATTCGAATGCGATCACCCGATCTCGCCCCTCTGCGTCAGCTTGCAGCAGTGAACAGCCGATGGCAAAGTCCGAAGCATCACAGCCGATACTAAAAGGAAGATCGTGGTCTGGTAACGTCAATATTAGTGCATGATGGAGGCTGTCTTTGTCCCGTAGAACTCTCCCGATGCTCGGTATCCCAACCCTACTCCGCATCCTTCTTAAGAAAATTCGACAATGGCCGTGCCATTTTTTTTCATGATTCGCGCTATACTTGCGCAAGTCTTTGGCGAGGCCAAGCCTCTTGCGTAAGTCATTTGGTTCTTGGAAACGGCCAGTTCACAGTAGCCTTGACCTTAGCGAGAAACCCTCGAAGGCCACGCTTCCCAATGAAGCATCCTAAAAAGGGAGTATCTTCTGCGCCGAAGATGAACTGGTCGGCATTAGCAAAAAGCTGATTCGTGCGCATGCTTTCGAGCACCACCATTAAATGAATGATATGGTTTTCTTCAT